ATTTCACTGTGACCATTTAGCTTAAGAAAAAGAAAGGTGAAAGAGAAGGAAAAAGAGGAAATGAGTAAAGAGAAAATTAAAACGCGGCCAACTAAAACACATAGACAAGGCAGAAGTAATATTGCGTATACTTAAAGTTTGTCCCTTCTCTGTTCCCATCCACTTGACTCCTGTACAGTTTTTCTGGATTGCAGACCACTATAACTCCCCATTCCCCTCACCACATACACATACCCATTTTATTCTACCACCTCTGCCATACAGTTTTGTTCCAACAACAAATTTCTTTATAAAAAGGAAAAAAAAACTTTTTTAAGCCAAATATTTGACTTTTTAAAAGATTTCAAAAAACTCTTATGTCGTGTTCTGGCCTTTAGTCAAGCTTCCCAGTATAGAGTTTTAATGTTTTTATACTTTTTGAACAACACTTTTAGTCAAGATACATTTCGCTGATACGTTTTAATAAAAATTCTTCCCCTGTAGGGGTGCCTGGGTGGCTGAGTCGGTTAAGCGTCCGACTTGCGCTTAGGTCAGGATCTCGCGGTTCGTGGGTTCGAGCCCCGCGTCGGGCTCTGTGCTGACTGCCAGCTCAGGGCCTGGAGCCTGTTTCAGAGTCTGTGTCTCCCTCTCTCTGACCCTCCCCTGCTCACGCTGTCTCTCTCTCTCCTAGAAATAAATAAAAATCTTTTTAAAAAATTTCTTCCCCTGTAAACTCAGAAAAATAGTGAAAAGCTGTGGTTGTCAAGCTATATCTGATGTGTTTGGGGGTAGAATGTAAAGCAGGAACTAAAATATTACAAATGTGAAAAGAATATTCAAGGATCATTCCCTTTGCATTGGGAAGGTGTTCAGTAATCCAGTCCTCAAAGTCAGCAGGGATGAAACTACTTTCATGGATAAATTGAGTTGTACCCCAAAATATAGTACCCATAAGCCTGGCTTCCTCGTCTACCTAGGCTGGAATACCCAGAGTTATTAATATATTCCCATAGAATTATTGAGTTATGACTGTGTTAGTGGCAGCAGTAATATTATTTCAACATCCAGCACCAAAATTCCTCTTGACGGGGTAGTCTTGTTACCTCCCTGACTGACAGGGCCCTATCTGATCCTCTTTGACTTGGTCCCCTCTGGCCTATCTCCTCCCTTCTCCTGCATACTTCACTCTAGCCTCACCAGCCTCCTTGCTATTCTTGGAAAATGTGCCTGGTATTCCTGTGCCTGGGGGCCTGTGCTGCAGCTCTTCTCTCTCATCAGGATAAATCTTACTTTACTTATCCAAATGACTCATTCTTTCACCTACTTCAAGTTCGAGCAAAAGCCACCTTACCAGTGAAGACTTCCCTGACCACCTATTTAAAATGGAATATTGCCTTCACCCTTCCTCCTTTACTTTCCTCAACAGCACTTATCATCAAATATGCTATATGTTACACATATAAATAAAATATGAGATGAGATATCTGAGACCGAATAACAACCAGAAGAAGGCTTAACCCTGCTATTAAAAGGACAAAAAAAGGTTGGTTGATTCCAAAGCAAAACCCAACTTATGCTGCATGTCAAAAACAAAGACATGCCTAAAACGAAATAATTCAGAAATGCTAGTGAAGAAAGGATGGGCAAAGGTAAACCAAGAAAATGCAAAAAGAAAAAAGAAAAATACTGTCATAGGAGATTCAGTTAACTAGAGTTCCATCCAAAAGCCATGACTGAGACAAAGAGCATCTGATAATATACTAAAGACTACAATTCACAGTGCAAATAAAATATTTATGGAAAATATGCAGCAAGTAATACAGTAGGTTCTTTCTTAGAAAGTACAAGAGATTCAAAGAGAACAGAACTACATGCATAATAGTAAACTTTAGTACACTTCTCTTAGTCCAAAACAAAAAAAAATTGTACAAAAAAATCATTCACAAGAATTTACTCTAATTTACATATAGACGCATGCATACCTAAAATAATTACATACAGAAAAATACAAATAACATTTTGCAACAATATAATGAAGGTAAAAATCCCTCACCATCAAAACATTAAGAAAACCTTCTCACCTTAAAATTTAATTTTTTCTATTAAACATACCTTGGCTTAAAGGGAAATACCAATTGATACTGAGAGTTTCTAGGAAAAAAAACAATGGAAACATGACATCAGAGTCTACAAGATAATGGTAAAAAGTATTCACAATAAAATTCATGGATTTACATATTATAGTGATAAAAATGAGCCAAATCAATGAGATATCACACTCAAAAAGAAACATTTAAGTCTTGCTTTGTATGTTTTGTTTTCCACTTTGGATTTATTTTTCTTTCTAATTAAACAACCTAGATTAGAAAACAACCTGAAAAAACTAAACCTAGATTCATTAAATTGGATTTGGCAATTTTATAATTAGCTATAATACTGTCACTATTATTTTAAAACTATATGTTATAAGAAAAATTAAATAAGTAATTTTATTAATATTATTAGTTATCATACATTTCTGTAAAAAGTGATACAATGTAAAATCAAATAAGTAAAAAAATTGGTTTCATTAGAAATGGAATATCAGCACAAACTTATGATTTATTTTTATCTTTCTTTGAAAAACTATACATTTCCTAGATCTTGCATTGTAAAGTCTGAAAAGTAATAACAACAAGCTGTTTAGCCATGAATATTCCTAAGGGCATAGACTGTGCTCACCAAATATGATTTTCACTGAAAGTAATGAGGACTCCTTTGAGAAATGGCTGGGTTTTGTCTAGAGCAGTAAATGAAACTGTTCCAATATGAGACTGGGACTCTTACAGCATCAGAAAGCAAGGAAGCTATCAGAACATTTGCGGTTGTCAAATGAACACAGGAGCCAAAGATGGGCAATTTGAGCTTTAAAATGAATAATCACTGCAATTACATGAAAGTGAAAATAGAGATTCCAGTAGAATCAATGGAAAACTCCTAAAAACAATAGGAAATTCAATATGGTAGCAAGATGTAAAATTACATATAAAAATCAATACCTTCATATATTTAAGCAATGAGCAGTTATAGGGAAAAATAGAAGAGCAGACCCCATATACATCAACAACAAAAGGAAAAATACTGTAGGAATATAACAAGAAATGGGAAAACCTTCTATGAGAAAAACTGTAAAGCCTTCCTAAAAGACACAAAGCTGGAATGTAAATAAAAGAAAAAGTAAACCTCACTCTCCAATAGACTAACACAAAATCATAAACTGATAGAAATTTTTCAAGTATTTTTATGGCTCTAGATTCTACAGTTCATATGGAAAAAATAAATGAGAATATCTAAAAGAGAGGGGGAAAAACAGTTATAAGACAGGCCTAGCTCTACCAGATATTGTTGTATGTTATACATTTTCTGTAATGAAAACAGTATATGAGTACACATATACTCATGAATGAAAACACATGAGTAGACAATCAGACCAACAGAAAAAACAGAAAATACAGACCCAAGTACAAAGTGAAAATTTATGTATGTGATAAAAGTGGTGCCTCAAATCACTGGGAGAATAGTGTACTTTTTAAAATTGAATGTTGGGGTGCCTGCTGGCTCAGTCACTTAAGCAACGGACTTCAGCTCAGGTCATGATTTCACATAGGCTCCAGGCCCACATCAGGCTCTTTGCTGTCAGCATGGAACCTGCTTTGAATCCTCTGTCCCTCTCTCTCTGCCCCTCCCCTGCTATCTCTCTCTCTCTCAAAATAAAATAGCTTTAAAAAATAATAATATTAAATGTTAAAAAAGCTAAATGGACCTTTGAAAATACATAACATTGGATTTAATATTACCTAGATGGAATTGCAGCAAAAAAAATTTTTTTTTAACTTTTTTCAACGTGAATCTTATAATGAAAAACCAATCTTGAGTATGCATATTGAAGGCTATTCTGGGAAACCACTGGCCTGAACTTTTCAAACATGTCAATGCCAAAAATAAAAATAAAAAAGGCTGGGGAAGTGTTCTAAATTGAAAGGAACTAAAGAGACTTATTAACTAAATGCGATCTGTAATCCTTGTTAAATCCTGGATTTATATTTTACAAACACTAATAAAGTAAGCAAGGTTTGGGAGGGGTTTGGGGACCATTGAGGAAATTCGAATCTGAATTCTACATATTCAATTATAATAATGTAACCATGTTTAGTGGGTTCCGACCCTCTATGTCTCTGGGGCTCACGCTACGTTGTCTAAAGACATTGTATTGTAATTTTATGGGACAGTAGTCCTCAGTAGGGGTGACTTGCCTGCTCTCCCCTACACACATTTGGCAGCATCTAGAACCGTTTTTAATTGTCACAGATGGGGGCCAGGGAGGGCTGTTGCTGGCATCTAGTGTACGTTGGCCAAGGATGCTACTAAATAGTCTACAATGACCGAGGCAGCTCCTCTCCCCACACCCCACAACAAAAAGTCATCTTTCCTATAAGGGGCGCCCGGGTGGCTTAGTCGGTTAAGCGTCCGACTTCGGTTCAGGTCATGATCTCGCTGTTCGTGGGTTCGAGCCCTGCGTCGGGCTCTGTGCTGACTGCCAGCTCAGAGCCTGGAGCCTGTTTCAGAGTCTGTGCCTCCCTCTCTCTCTGACCCTCCCCTGCTCACTCTGTCTCTCTCTCTCCTAGAAATAAATAAAAATATAAAAAAAAATCATCTTTCCTATAAAACGTCAGTAGCGTCTTGGTTGAAAACCTAGGTGCGGGAGAATCCCCTACTCTTAGAAGACAGACAGACATTAGACTGAAATAAATGAAACTGTCCTTTGAGCAGGTGAAACTACTGGTAACATTTAAGGGTGAAGGGTTATGATGTTCATACTGACTCAGACTGTTCATTTAGAAACCGCTGTACGCGTCCTCCCGCCGCGGCTGGCTGGCTTCCCTCCTCCCTCCAGGAGCCGGTAGGGACGCCCCCCCGCGCGGGTGCGGAGCTGACCGGCGGAGCCTGCGCGCTGAGAGGAGCCTGCCAGCGGCCACTGCGCATGCGCCGGCAGCTCGCCGGACTCCCGCAGCGCGTCTCCGAAAGTTCCAGTGCGGCGGGTGGACCACCGTCCAGCACAGCTGCACGCACCAGAGAAGGGAAAAGAAAACTCCCCGGGGGCTCCGTTGGCTTCTCTGGGAGTGACAAAGACGCTTTTCCACTTGAAGCCCGGAAGCTTCCTCCTTTGCAATCCGATAAGGGCTGCAGTGAGCGCCGCTCATCCTTTTGAAGCCACCTTGCCAGGAAGAGCCGGTTGTGGGTGCACCCGCGGTGCCTGGCCGTCCCCTTCCAGGCTGGATTCTGCGGAGGTGAGTTTTAATACTCTCTTTAGTGCATTCCCCCCTTCCTGTGTCTGACGAGCCTGGGCAGTACGACATCTCGTGATACTACCTGGGACTCAAAGTGCCCCGGGCAGGCGCATTCCACACGCGGCGCCTCACCAGCAACCGCTAATCTAGGTGACGTTTTAAACACCTTACAGTTCTTTAGCTTAGAGTCCCTTAGTCAAGGAGTTGGCACACTTTTCCTGTGAAGAGCCAGATAGCAAATATTTTAGGATTTGGACGCCAGGAACGATCTCTGTCGCATATTTGTCTCTGTTTCAACAACCTCTTAAAAATGTAAAAAAAAAAAAAAAAAAAATCTTAGCTGCTGGTCTTTAAAAAACTTGCAAATTATAATGATTAGGTTGCTCATTCATTTTACTCGACACGACGCTAGAGTTTCTTTCTGGCCTGCACCCTATCCCAGGTCCTACCACAGTCCAGTCAGGACTTGGGCTGTAACCCACCACGTTTACTGGACTTCACCTGCCCAGATTAGTTTTCAATATTTCTGGGTCCCTACACCTCTGCTCTTCCTCCCTGCTGGATGGCCCCCGGTGAATTCCTGGCAGTCGGCAAGGCCACCAAGAAACCCTCAGACAAGCAGCCAAACCCTCCTTTATTCTAAAATGGCAATTGCTTCCTATCTGGAAGCAGAAACGAAAGTTCCTAAATTTTTAATAAATTAGAATAAAGGTAATACGGGAGTTTGTCAGGCAATCGTATTTGTATAACATTTTTTTCTAGTGCTAAACGCAATATATGTTCACTATGGTAATTGGGAAAATACTGAAAAATATATAGGGGAGAATAAAAATTTTCCATAACCCAACATACCAAAAAAGAAAAAAGAGAGAGAGAGGAGAAGAAGAAGAAAAAACCCTACTCAATATTTATGTATTCTTTTGGTCCTTTTTTTCAATATACACTAATAGGACAACTTACTGACCAACTGGGCTTTTGAAAATATTTCCTAAGAAACCTCCAAAATACAGAAGAGTGTGCAAACTATAAATGTACAGTTCAGTAAAATGTCAGAGACTAACACGGATGTACCCTTGTAGCCACCATCCTAATCAAGAAATAGACCATTCCTAGGACCCCTCATCCCCTGCCCAGTCAGGGGCAGCTTCTCCCCAGATATAACCACTGTCTTATCCTCCCAAATACGTAGATTAGTTTTGTCTGTTCTTGAATTTCAATGAAATGAATTATTCATTAAGTTTTCTATAATATTTGGTTCTTTTGCTTTTATATTATAATTAAGATTAAGCCATATTGTTGCTTACAACAGGTCTTTTTTTTTTAGTTATTGTATGCGGTTGGGCATTCCATTATATGAATATAACACATTTTATGTATTATAGTGTTTTTTAAGTAACAGATTTATTGAGATATAATTCTTCTAGCATACAATTCATCCATTTAAAGTATACAATTCAGTAGGTTTTTTAGTACATTCACAGATGCAATCATCCTCACAATCTTAGAACATTTTCATCACCTCAAGCAACTCCATACTCTTTAGCTAACATTTACATGTCCCCCCATCCTCTCCAACCCTACCTAATCACAAATCTACTTTCTATTTTTATAGGTTTGCCTTTTGTGGACATTTCATAAAAATCGAATCATAGAGTCTTTTGTGACTGGTCCCTTATACTGATGCTGGATATTCATGTTTTTTCAAGGTTTGGGGCTATTACAAATAATATTACTGGAAACATTATTATACATATCTATATGCTATTTGTATCGATGGATAGGTTTTTATCACATAGATACATATTTCTATGAGATACATATCAAAGAGTGGAATGGCTCCGACAAAGGTTATGCTTACGGTTAGTTATAGTTGATCCAAACTGTTTTTTAAATTGACACCCCCACCAGCACTCGATATAATGAGTTTTTATTGCTTCACACCCTCACCAACATTTGGTGGTTGTGTGATTTCAATTTATACTTCTCTGATGACTGATGAAAAAGAACATCTTTTCATGTGATTATTAGTCATTTGAATATCCTCTTTTAGTAAAGCACCTATTGAGTCTTTTTTTTTTTTTCTGTTGGGTTTTTGTTTTTTTCTGCTTGACTTCTTTATTCTAATGTGAGTCCATTTTCATTTATAAGTACTGACAAAAAAACAAACAAAAAAAAAACACACCTTTCCCTAGTCTGTTGCTTGCATTTTAATTATCTCACTATTAAACTTTAATGAATGTAACTTTGTTATTTTTATTAAAGTCTAATTTATAAAATTTCCTTTATGGTTCATCCCTTTGCTGTCCTGCTTAAGAAATGATTGCCTACAAGGACTTTCTCCTAGGTTACATCTAAAAAAATACTGTTTTTCTTTGAACATATGGATCTAACCATGTAGAATGGATTTTGTAGCATGGTATGAAGTAAGGGTTAATTTTATTATTATTTTTTTACATAGCCTTCCTACTGACCACAGTCCTAAAGACCATCCTTTTCCCACTGGCAGCACTGCCTTTGTCATAAACCAATAGAAAGGCGAATCAACACATGTTGGAATCAATACACAAGGACTTTAAAATAACCATGAGAAATGCATCTAAGATCTTATTAAAGAGAAAAAGATAAAATTGATGAAGAGGTAGGAAATCTCAAGAGAGATACAGATAATAGTTTTAAAGTTTTTTTAATGTTTATTTTTGAGAGAGACAGCGTGATAAGGGGAGGGGCAGTGAGAGAGGGAGACATAGAATCCGAAGCAGGCTCCAGGCTCTGAGCTGTCAACACAGAGCCCAACATGGGGCTCGAATCCACAAACCACGAGATTAGGGACCTGAGCCAAAGTCGGACACTTAACTGACTGAGCCACCCAGATAATAGTTTTAAAAATGGAAATCCTAGAATTGAAAAGTACAGTATCTGAAATTATTTGATAGGTTTATCAGTGGTTTGGGCACGACAATTAAAGAATTATTGAACTTAAAGATAGGTCACCAGAAATCATCCAAATTTAACCTGAGGGAAAAAATGTTTTTAAATAAGCAAAGCATCATTGACTATGGAATAGTATTAAGTGGTCTAACATACATGAAAGTGAACTCCCAAAAAGCAAGGAAAGAGAGTATGGCACAGAAAAATATTTGAAAAAAATATTAGCAAAAGATTTCCAAATGTGTTCAAATATATTTTATCCAGGATGTTTACTTGTTTTCAGTGGAGTGTTGATTCTAATATCCTAGCTTGTTATGAATGGAATTTAGAAGTTAACATAAATCTGTATCAATGAGCAGCTGGCCTTTTTTTGAGAGGAGGTGCTGAGGGAGAGAGAGAATCTTAAGCAGGCTCCATGCCTAGTGAAGCCTGAAGCCTTGGAGCCCCACGTGGGGCTCGATCCCACAACCGTGAGATCATGATCTGAGCCAAAATGAGGAGTCAGATGCTTAACTTACTGAGCCACCCTGGCATCCATAGGACATTTTAAAGTCACACAAAATGTGGAAAAATACCTTGTTGGTTGGAACCATCTTGAGTATTACTGTACTTTTATAAATGCTATCTACTCACTAAAGGCCAGTAGGACCACCCCAATCATGATAATATCAAAATGTCCTCAGTTTTTCCAAATATCTCTTGGTGCATAACATAGCCCTGCATACATTGACCCCTCTTTCCGGTGATCTGCTACTACCTCCTTTATCCACTCCTTTTTGAACCCTATCTTCTTATCTCATATCTCTGAAACCAAAATGATCTCTTTCCATCTCCCAGCTTTTAGGATCAATTTTCCGTCATCCCAAATGTTCCTCCCCCAAATAGCCATATGACCGATTGTTTTCTCCTCCTCAGGTCTTTGTTCACATATTATTTCCTCAGCACAACCTGTAGATAAAACAAGACAAAACAAAAGCCGTGCACATTCTTCTCCACCCCCCCCCCAGTTTATTTTTACCTATAGCCTTTCTTTGTATTTTAATTACAGAATTTGCTATTGTCTCACTTTCCCCACCATTAGAAAATAACTTCCTGTGAGGCAGCAGAGAAATTTACCAGTTTTGCTTTCTGTAGTATCTTCAATATCAAAAAGGAGTAAAACACTATAATTCTTAACATCTATCTCAGGGCTGACATGTGGGCAATGTTAATTTATTCCTAATAACCCCCTATATCTTTCAGGGTATTCCCTCAGTTTTCATGAATAAGAAACCCTGATAGTACACCAGCAATTTACATGTTTAAGGTATGTCTGAGTTTCTTAGCAAAAAGAATTATAGCAGTCAAAACTCCAGCTTTTTTACCAAGGAGAGTAAGAAATATGACTTGACTGTTTCCAAAGCAACAAAAAGCTTTACCAGATTTAAGTAGACTAAAGGTTCCTCCTTACAAGATTGAAGTACCCAACCAAATTCATGAGAGCCCCCTCACAAAGGAAAACTGCTTAGAGCTATCGTCACAAAAATTTTTGCCTATTCAATTATAAGCTAATTTGAATCAACGTTTTTTTTTCTTTAGGCGTTCAGGCTTCAAGATGGATGATGAACTTTCAAAAAGGAAAGAGATGGAAAATCATCAAAATTACCATAAACTGTGCTGCCAACTGAATATATTTTCCTTTGTAGCATGTTCAGAGTCAAGGAAGATTTTATTCCTGCATTATGTAATCCACCGACAGCCTCCTTACCTACTGTCTTAATCCAGGTTATTCCTGAATGCAGAGCCTGAGACAAAGGTACACACGTTCTATTTAGGAATGTGATCCCAGGGAGCAGGAATAAAAGAGGATTGAACAGGGGTAAGAAGAAAAGAAAATCCAAGCAAAACAGGTAGTATAATCAAGTAGTTCAGTTGTTAACAGGTACTTAGTGCATGCAGATCCTCCTCAGGAGCCTTACCCAACCTTGTCTCAGAACATCCTTTGTCCACCCAAAGGATGAAAGGGAGAAGCATTTAGTTCTCAGCAGCAGCCTCCTGCTTGCTGAGGGCTGCTCCCATGGGATGTTAACTTCTCTATCTCTATGGGTCGCTTAGAGAGGACAGCCTCACTGGCACCAGAACATGACATGTTGCCGCATCAGAAAAGTCTTGGGACAGGAAGCTAGATCCTTGGTGTGTACCTGAAGTGAGGCACTGTCAGCACAGAGCAGGGTGAAACCTACTCCAAACTTCACCAGAGCTGTGGCTGGAATCAGAGGTTAGAGAGATATGGAACAGTGCACAAGAGGCATCTTCTAAGCCTACAGAAGGTGCCCTTAGCCTAGTCCAAATCTATAGCCTCCTTTCTATCATCAAAATTTCAGTATCCAGAACAAGGTTGTTGAAGGGGTGAAATTAGGAAGGTTAAATGTATTACAAGATATATGTTAATAATAGTTTTAGCCTTGAGTGATGTTTAAAAAAATAGAAATTGACATTAGAACTTGGAAGATTAGGAGAGCCTGTGTGGTACAGTTGGTTGAGCATCTGACTAGGATTTGGCTCAGGTCATGATCCCAGGGTTTTGGGATTGAGCACTGTGTTGGACTCTGTGCGGAGCATGGAGCCTGCTTAAGAGTCAGTCTCTCTCTCTCTCTCTTTCTCTGTCTCTCCCTCTCCCTCCCTCCCTCCCTCTCTCTCTCTCTCTCCCCCCCCCTTCCCTCCCTCTCTCTCTGTCCCTCCGTCTTTCCTACTCTCTCTTTCAAATAAAATAATTTTTCAAAAATGCTTTTTAAAAAACACCTGGGTGGATCAGTGTGTAAAGTACCTGACTTTACTCAGGTCAGGTCATGATCCTATAGTTTGTGAGTCCAAGCCCCACGGTGGGCTCTGTGCTAACAGCTCAGAGCCTGGAAACTGCTTTGGATTCTATATCTCCCTCTCTCTCTCTGTCCCTCCCCTGCTTATGCTCTGTCTCTCAAAAATGAATAAACATTTTTTAAAAATTATTTTAAAAACTTGGAAGATTAAAAAATTATTTTACTGGGGCTCCTGGGTGGCTCAGTGGGTTAAGCGTCAGACTTCGGCTCAGGTCGTGATCTCAACAGTTCATGGGTTTGAGCCCCACACTGGGCTCTGTGCTGACAGCTAGCTCAGAGCCTGGAGCCTGCTTCAGATTCTGTATCTCCCTCTCTCTCTGACCCTCCTCTGCTCACGCTGTCTCTCTCTCTCTCTCAGAAATAAATTTTAAAAAACATTTAAACAATTTTTAATAAAAAAATAAAATAATAAAAAATGATTTTACTTGAAAAAAAAACAGACCATATTAGACATCTTTTAAATTCATGACAATCATGAATTCTTTGGAGAAATATGGAGAAATAAAATTATTTCTTGTGTTTCTGAGCTTTGTAAGTCAACATCATTAACTTTTCCTAAAATATGGTTATCTACTGTCACATAGCACAAGTGATACAGAGCTTATAACCAATCAAGAGAAAGTTGGTAGAAATACAGGAAGGAAAAATACTGTGATTACCAGCACATAAGGGGTTGGCATTAATATTGGTTGGAACAGGGAGTAAACTCCATGCTTTGATTTAGAGTTTATCTGTGAGGCTCCATCTTATCAGAAATAGCTTTCTCTCTGCCTATACCTATGTTATCATCATCTTCTCTTATTTGCTCTGGAATTGCTGTGAATAGGATGAAACTTTTGAGTCATCCAATATATGCTGAGTTCCTACTATTTCCTGTGTATTGGCACTGTACATATGAATAAGACAATAAAAAAATATCCAAAAATTTCTGATTACATATTCTTATAAGGTTAACCCAAAACATTTACCAAAACTGACCATATGATTGATCACAAATCAAATCTCAAATAGTCTCTAAAGGTTGAAATCATAGAGTATGAAAGCAGAAATCAGTTACATAAAAATAAAAAATAAATAAAAATTTCCAAGTGCTTGTAATTTAAAGAACATATTCCTGATAACCCACAAGTAAAAGTATAAATCACAGTGGAATTTAGAAAAAAAAAATTAAATGAATGCTAATGAAAAAAGCCAAAAGATTGGCTGTCAGTGTTCCAAAAAGCTAAGGAAAAAATTGTGTGAAGTAGCTTTTCTAGACATTGAACCGCTGGCAGTAAAGGACTGCTCACTGTAGGGGAGAAAGGTGACCCTATGATTGCCCTGCCTTTCTGAGTTGAAGCACTCTGGATCATGTTACAGTCTTGCTGAGTCAATGAGGCAAAGACTGGACTTGTGAGTGAAACTGAGATGGCTTGAATTTTCAGGGCAGAGTACCAGTGAGGAGGAAGTTTTGCAAAGAAAGAAATTTCATAAATCTGCACACAGATCTCTTTGTGTCCATTGCTGAACACTAAGCTCAACTATTCTCAAAAGCAGCACACGGTTGGGAAACATTTAATTTCCATCCAACCTAGTGGAGAGTCACTGAGAGCCGCAGACATTTCACTAGGATCCCAGGAAGGTTATACCTTATGTAAATATGGCTAAACTAGCCTTACAGTAAAATTTATACTAGACTTGTCCCCTAAAACAGCTTAAAGCCAAGCCTTTGTATGAGCTGATTCATAAATATCTACCTGCCAGAACAAAGTCCAAATGTATTAGTTTGGGTCCTCTAAGAAGCACATGCAAAGACAGGATTAGATTTACAAGTGATTTATTTGGGGAAATTGCTATGACTGTTAAAATAGAAAGGAAGCCAGAGGAGGCAGAGTCTTCCTAGCATGCCCGATCCCTTTCAAGAGAAGAGGGAAGGAAGGAGGATTGAGTAGCAGGAGTCTCTGGCTGCAACACAAACTCCAAGAAAGTAGAAGGTCAAACTAATGAAGAATTCTCAAGCCAAAGTTGCCCCTCAGAGGAGGCGGCTACTTCACACGAATGGGCTTGCGTTAGTATACCTGCTCTGCCCATTGCTTCAAAGGAAACAACCCATGGGAAATGCAGTATCGGCATGAAAATACCAAGCTGCAGCTGGAGCTCTCAGTCAATTAACCTCTAAGCAAGAGATCTGGGTGATGCTCTTGCATGACTACTCTGGTTCACCCTCCTACTGAGCTGCTCTATTCAAGAAGCAAGTCCTCCATGATTCCTGTGGGTATACCCATCTCTCTAAGGAGAAATTTATATTATTTATTTAATTATTATTTATTTATTTATTTATTTATTTATTTATTTATTTATTTATTTTAGAGAGCACACAAGGGAGGGAGAGGGGCAGAGGCGGAGAGAAAGAATGTTAAGCAATCTCCATGATCAGCATGAAGCCCAATGCAGGGCTCAATCCCCAGACCTGGGACCATGACATGAACCAAAATCAAGAGTTTGATGCTCAACTGACTGAGCCACCCAGGTGCCCTTCTGAGGAGAAACTTAGAAGAGGGAGGTTAGTAAGTTGATCTCAGGACTACAAATGGTCCCCATCCTCTCCTTCCTCGACTAGCCCATTTTGGATTCCCCTCCCAAAGATCAGTTTTTTCGATCAGCAGTTCTTGGTGGCTTACCTGATGATGTGATACAAACTTTCATTCCTTAGGGGCCTTAATTCTTGGTAATCATGCCCTTCTTAGGCTGGGCTCACAGCTACAGTAAGGCAAGGGAGCACCAAGGGGCACAAAGTAGATCACCTGGGACCCACACATATCCCTCACTGTCCCATTGTGTAGAAGCAGCCTGACTTCCTGCTCAATGGGGTCAGTTATCCTGTGAATACAGTGACTGTTCACCTGCACAACCCTGGGCATGAGGTAAAATGCCATTAGTGATAACCATTTCTTGTAGCTTAATGGGACCTTCACTGTAGCCCCTGGGAAGAGTACATCCCCTTTGGGAACCAGGAACCAAAGCTTACAGGGGGCAGAGATGCAGGGAAGGAAGCACAAATGCTTCCAGTAATAAGTCATTGGGGGTGTTGTAAATAAGGCCACCACCTTTGACTCTCTTAATCCTCCAACTGGGGACATAGCACCATAATGTCCTCTTAATGAATACACTGTATCCTGAAGAGTAACGGCCCATCCTTTCAGAATGTTGTCTCAGAGTACATAGTTTAGCTGTGTCTTTATTTTTTTAATGTTTATTTTTGAGAGAGAGAGAGAGAGAGAGAGGGAACAGGCAGGGAAGGGGTAGAGAGGGAGATGAACAGAGGATCTGAAGCAGGCTCTGCACTGACAGCAAGATACCTAATGTGGGGCTCAAACTCACTAACCATGAGATCATGACCTGAGCTGAAGTCAGATACTTAACTGACTGAGCCACCCAGATGCCCCTTGGCTGTGTCTTTAGAAGACCATTTCAGCATTCCACGGAGCTGGCCACATGGATGAGGCTGCAGGGTAATGTAGTATGTGATAAAACCCAAGGTTCCAAGGTCATGAGTCCATTCTTGCATCTTCATCACCATGAAGTGGTCAGATAGTGTATAAGTCCTTTATAGTGGTGAAACTGAAGCTCTGCAGGTAGGAAAGGCAAACCCATATCTGCACTAGGTCTATCCCTGTGAGGACAAACTACTGGCCCTTCCAGGAGAGAAGAGGCTCATTATAGGCAATTTGCCACCAAGAGACCTTGAAGAATAGTGCCATATTGAGGGCTCAGTGTTGGTCTCTGTAGCTGATGAGGGTGGACATTCAGAGGCTACAGTTTGGTAAGTCAAAGTTCATGTGAGGGGTCCACAGGTAACTTCCAGCTTTGTTACTATAGGTAGTCCATTTATGTGCCCCTTAGGTTAATTCAAGGTGTCTGATAACAAAGCGTGGCTAACTTCAACTTGCCAAGTCATTTTGTTTATTTGGTTGCTAGGTGCCCTTCCATGATGGATGCATTCTGGTGGGTATTAATGAAAGAAACAAAAATCTTCACAGCCTGTGTCCACCCCCTATGTCCATCCTCATACCCTTGTCTCACACTTCCTTGGCTTCAATTTTTCAGCCCTTTTCCATCCAGGCCTCTAAATGGATTGACAAGCCATTAGCCACTGTCCAGGGAAGAGTACATATTCTCATCCAGAACTAGTTTTCTAACAAAGTAGATTGACCAGGTACACCACTCAACACTGCTTCTTATAATTATTTGCCCTATCCACTGTCCTTCAAGGTGACTCTTGGATATAGTTACAGTGTAGCCAACTGTTTTTGACCATCTTTCCTAATTGGGATTAAAAAGAACAGATTCACCAGATCAAATACAACATATTATGTACTGGAGCCCTTCTTAATCTCTAGTAATGAATGATCCCACATCTGCACAGCTGCTGCAATCAGGGCTAATACAGAGTTACACCTGCAGTAGTCCATAGTCATTCTCTCCAGTTTCTTCAAAACTCGGGCCAAGGAAATGGAGAAATCGTGGGGCCCACCAGTAAGCTCTACTCCCCCGAACTCCAGCCAAATGTCTTTGATTTTTTATCTTGGCTAGGTTTAAGGAGGATTTTCATAGGTTTTTATCTGGCTTTCCCTACTATGATAGCTCTTACCCTGCAGGCCAAAAGTTCTATGTATATACTACAATTATTTCTAATTATATACTGAGGCACTATGAACATGACTATTTATAGGTCCACAGACTCAGTGTGT